GAAGCGATTTTCTCACTTCGGATTCCACCTTTTTCAATCGTACTTGAACGCTTGCGTTAGCAAGAGCCATGCTCTCACACTGTCTCAAGATCCCAGTACCCCAAGTTGATCTGGATAATGCCTTTGTTAGAAGACCCTGATTAGTCGGCACCCAAACAAATTCATCCACTTCTTCAGACACAATTAAAAAGTTAAAGTTATTAGATAATCGTAGGAAAAAACTACCATTTTGAAGTTGCTCAAATGGGTTTGCATTAGCGCTTCCTCGTGATGATTCAACTACCTCGTGCAAGTCTGGAGACGGTATCGCAACTTCTAAACATCAATATCACATCGAAATACCTCAGTATATCATAACTGCAGACAAATGCTCAACACAAATTACCAAGATCTGTGAAACCAAGATCAGAGGGCAACACCGTAGCCTTAGTCGAACTCAACTTTTCTTGACAGCCTAACAAAACAAGCACAATACGACAAGCTTATAATAAAACAACGAAAACTTACTGCTTCCCGGCTCATTCTGCGCACAATCATCAGGTGGAGCTCCAAAAGAAGGTAGCACCTGGAAAAACTGGCTAGCTGAGTCAGAAAAAGCAAAGAACGGCAGTAAAAAGGAGCATCAAAACAACCTTTGGGTCTGCTACGATGAATGGAACCGCGCCGGCGCTAGCTGAAGGTTTCGGACGTAATCGAGGCTGAACCGAAGTGGTTTGCGCACATACGTTTCCTAGCAGACGATCCGGAGCAAGTGAAACAATAGCAGCTGCTGCAATCAGTACAAGAAGTTTTATGATACTGACACATGAAGAAAGCAAAACATTTTTTCTCTTCATAGCATCGATGATCAAAAAATTCTCGGATGCACGTTCGAGAAAAAAAGCAAGTTCTTTGAATTTTTTTGCCAAAAATTAGAGAAAGCATTCTCATGATACTTTACACATATTAATTGCTATGTAAACACTTCAAGATCTATAAAAATCCTCAAGATAAAGTGTGCGAAAAAGAAGAACAACTATGCACTATGACTGCAAGCAGATAACCGCTTAAACTCACTGTCAATTTGCTGCGGCGAGCT